GTTGATGTTTGATGACTTGACATTAAATGTAACCTGTAACACACCATATCATGACTGTATTGATTTTGCATTTGTCACATTTTGTGGCTTTAAAATAGTGATGACAAGTTTAGTATACAAATGTATTTCTGTTGGCACATACACATGAGTTATTTAATTATATTTCTTTAATGAATTTATTGTTACTTGCATGTGAAGATCTAGCATTTGATCAAAATTTTGAAAATACAGATCCATACCTCAATCTTTTGAAATAGCACTATTTTGTGCTTCATGCAAAACTTCTTTAGGCAGGAAACGTTGACAACTCTGTTACAAATTCTTGTTTGATAAATTTTAATAAAATATTTCTATATGCAACAAATAATAAAGTCCTAAACTTGTCAAAGTAATAGTTCTATTAACCCTTATCATGCTGAATATCTCAAATTAACTAACCCTCATCATTTTAGTTAACTTTAGTGAACTCTGTGATATGCAGGCTTCATAACCCCAGATCCCCTTCCCAAATTCCATTTCATTTAGTTCCGCCCATTGTTTTCTCGTTTAGGGCAAAAGCATTCTTTTACTTGGGGATCATACAACCATTCATGGAATGGCACGACTGTGCCACATTAAAGGTTCCATGATAACCGCCGTGTGAACACATCTGTGGATGTTTCTGAATTCAAAATTCCACCATTTTCGTATTAAATGTTGAATTCTGCTTAAGCCGGTGCTAGGGGGCGTGGACGGTAACTTGCACTTTTCATTACCGTCCATGAACAGGCTCAATCAAACCGAGCCTGCAACATATTCAATTGTGTTGTGTTGGACTTTCTTTAGTGGTTCTGTTTTTCTTTATTTTATTGTCACATCCGTGTTATTTGTGCCGTGTGGCGGCTGTAAAATATCTCCCCGTACATTTAATCAATGATGTTATATTTTCGATCCTTGAAGATCGTTCAGCACGACATTATTGTTGTGTATACATGTTATGTGGTAATTTTAGTTTCTTCTATTAGGCCATTTTCAACTTGGGTGGTTCCAGTATTCCTACTTGAATACTGTATAATCACCCTTAGGATATGTTGCCTGCTTTTTAAATTTGTCTTTTGACGTCTTATCTGTGATATGCAGGCTTCATAACCCCAGATCCCCTTCCCAAATTCCATTTCATTTAGTTCCGCCCATTGTTTTCTCGTTTAGGGCAAAAGCATTCTTTTACTTGGGGACCATACGCCGCTTTTCATGGAATGGAACTACTGTGCTACATTGAAGGTTCCATGATAACCGCCGTATGAACACATCTTTTCGTGTTAAATGTTGAATTCTGCTTAAGCCGGTGCTAGGGGGCGTGGACGGTAACTTGCATTTTCCAGTACCGTCCATGAACAGGCTCAATCAAACCGAGCCTGCAACATTTTCAATTGTGTTGTGTTGGACTTTCTATGGGGATTCTGTTTTTCTCTATTTCAAAATAAATACTGAGTGAATAGCAAACAGTGCAGACCATTGTCAGATGATACAGTTAGCACAACTGACTGGCTGATCTTGGTCTGCACTGGTTGCATAGATATAATCGGCTATTAAGGCTTTAAGCAACATAGTATTGATACACATTCATGTTATATACACACATATTATAAAAAAATAGAAATTGTTTTAAACAGCAAAATTGTTGTCAAATGAGCAGATTAAATTATTAGAGCTATCATATGGCACTTATATTTCACACAGATGATCACCTTATAGTATCAGACAAAAAAGACAAATCTCTATGAGTAATGGAATAAGATTTATTAATGAAAATTCAGTAAATTATTGCTTATAACATTGTACTGTTATGTATGATTTTTTAGTATTTATACATTTCTTGATGCATTAAAAATCAACGGCCGGAAGTAAATTGTAAATTGTTGCACTTCAAAAAGGGAGTTGTAAAATATATATAAATGAACAATAAACATTTATTACATGCTTTTCGGTGGTTTATAGAAATATATCAGTGAAATAAAAACTGATAATTTCACTGTTTAAAACAGTGAAATTATCAATTTGATAAGTTCACTGTTTTGAATATTTGAGCTCGTTACGTTGTTTCAGTAAAATACAAGCGTTCACAGTACTTGAAACCGACCTAATGACGTGACGTCGTAATTGACGTCACTTTGTATTATTATTTGACGCCCTTTTCATTTAGTACTAGGTTAAAATGTCTTTTAAAACGTTTCTTTGCATATAATAAAAAGAAAATTTGTTTAGTTTAATGTAAGGTCGAAATATATTTCACCTCGTGAACACCAAAAGTTCATATTTCACTCGTGGCTGCGCCACTCGTGAAATATAACTTTTGGTGCTCACTCGGTGAAATATATTGCGATCTTACACTGAACTAAGCAAATATCCTCTATTTGTATTATATATCATTATGAGGGACAAGAGATAGTTTTTATTGTGTTTTAAATTTATTATCGTATCGTTTTCTTGACCTTAAAATATAAACTATGTATAGAACGCGTGCTGGAGTGAATGGTAAACTGCAGATTATTTTATTATGATTTTATCATTATTGGCAAGACATATGAGGCGAGCTGTTGTCTAGTGAAGGTAAATGTGTAAATGCATTAGAAAGAATGTTGTCAAAATAGTCATTTAAATGTGTCTTGTTTGCATAGTGCATAAACTACTTACAGTAGCTCATATAAATAGAAAAGATAATTTAATCAACAGGGGTTATGTATCACATGAAATGTTTGGCTTAATCCCGGGATCCGGCAAAAGCAGGTCTGTTGTCGTATTTTAAAGCTAGTAGGCTGGTAATATTAGAAGTGCTATTTAAATATTTAGATTTTAAGATTTAACATTAGTATTTGAGATTTCAGCCAAGGCAACCTTCAAAGGATAGAATCGTGAATTAATTTTTTTTTAAAATATGGGTGCAACTAATAATGTATATTTTTGCCAACAACTTAGATTAAAGTGACGCAAATACCGAGATCAGCGGAAATTTAATTCACACATGTGACCAGATCAAGATCGGCTAGCACTAAGTTCATGTCACCTGGCCATTGTAAGCACTGTTTGCTGAGGAATTTATACCTAAACAAAACATTGAGCTATTTTGGACTAATCTTAAGATGTACTAATATTATATGGCTGACATTGTAATTTGATATACAATTTTTATTTATATACTTTGTAATTTCTCATGCAATATTTATGTACATGTATTATACAATTCATCAAACTAGCGGCCACATTATTATTTTTTTAAACATTATTTACATGTAGCTTTTGATATACATTTTGTAAAAACAATTATTAATGTTACCGAAGGCAAAACAGTGACATACTTTTTGAAAGAATAATTTTGTTCAGTTATGGTCCTTGAATGAACTAGAACTGTGTTCAAAGGACACGGATGCCCCCACTGTACAGAAAATTCCTTCATTTGCTACCATCTACACATTAAGGTTGTTCATCCCTGGACGTTTAAGCAAAGTCTGCTATCCGGTTTAAGAGGAGTTGCATTCACAAAATTTCCACATAGTATATCTTGAAAAAATCAACAAAGGGCAAAAATTCTGTTAAATTTGGTCGCAGCGAAAATTCCTTCCTTTACTACTATCTGCACATTAAGGTTGTTCATCCCTGGAAGTTGAAGAAAAATCTGCCGTCCGGTTTACAAAGAGTTGCGTTCACAAGATTTCGGGACGTACGGACAGACGTACGGACTGACAGACGTACGGACGGACGGACCGACAAGTGCAACGCTATATGCTTACCACTTTGTGGGGGCATAAAAACACGCTCTGCCCTGTTTATGCTTTTTGTGTCTCCTGCTACACAGTAGCTGCAAGATGCAATTGGCTGTCATAAGGCGACACATGTGATCACTGAACGCTCCTCGATCAGCTTTACATTTATTAATAATTTATGTTAAATCATAAACATTAAAAAAAGTATAATTTTGTTTCAAAAGATGCAGAACTGACATTTTATATCTACATTTAAAGTGTTTGTACTTTTTGTATTCTGTTATAAATTTTTGCAATTTCACAATAAATAATATTAGACATGTAACATTAAAGATGTAATTGGCTGTCATAAGGCGACACATGTGATCACTGAACGCTCCTCATCTTTACATTTAATTTATATTATATCATGAACATTAAAAGATAAGTATAATTTTGTTTCAAAAGATGCAGAACTGAACTGTTATATCTACATTTTAAGTGTTTGCACTTTTTTGTATTCTGTTATAAATTTTTGAAATTTCACAATAAATATATTAATTAACTAATAATTAATTATTGATTTTGTAAAAAATAATTTATCTGTACTTCTAGAGATTAACAAAATTAAGGTTGCGTGTAAAAAATCTTGGAAAATGATTTTTCAAATTTCCAATCTACTGCACTTTTTGTATCTTTTGAACACGCAATTAATAATAAATTGATCAATACTGTTACATTCGAAACCAAATGGGCATTTGGAAATATCGTAACAATTGTAAGCATAATTGTTCATATGAACCAATACCTATCTTGTCAAGATTTTTTTTTAAATTGATATAAAATATCAATTTGAATACAAGTGTAGAAATAAAGACGATTCTGTGACAGAATTTTAAAAATATTTGTAAATTGTATGAATAATACCTTTAATATATGGGACGCAACTCAATTGAAATAATAGATTTAATTCATAAAGAGTTAACTCGCTTTTCAACCTTGTCACTTTTCGTTTTTTCGGACAAGTAAATGATACCTTTGCGAATTCTTATATTATATTTTTCACATTATCTGTACTGCTTCTTATTTTGTAAGAAATCAAATATATACTTGCATTATTGTAAGGCTGAAAGGAGGATGCTCCTCGACCCCTATTATGCCAATGACGGGAAAAATAAATGGGGGTTACCCCTTAACTGGGCGCCCGAAACTTAAAAAAAAAAAAAAAAAAAAAAAGGTTATGTGTGATGTCATAATTTTAATTAATTTCTATATATATATTATATCTTGAATGAATGAGGATGATTTGATGTGTTTATTCCATTGTTAGTGTCATGTCTTTAGTCTCGTCATATCTTTTACATCATTTTATACAATTTGATATAATTATCATCACTGTGACACTTTAAACTACTAACACAAAGTGTCCTGGTTTCAGCACACCAACATACAGCTTGAGGATTATCTGCATCCTCAAGTATAGCTTTACTGTCTTTACAGTCACCACTTACTCGATGTATACATTGACTGTTTCTATCAATCACCAAGAGAGACCCATCATGTAACAGTGTTATACCCCTTGGTTCTCCAATTCCTACTAATCCTATCATCTCTCCTTGCCAGTTAAATCGTAGAACTATATCATTGTCACAGTCAGATACATAGATTGAATGACTGTTTGTTGTGATATACCCAGGATAACTGAATATATGGTCACCATTGAAATCTTTATCAACTGTATTTTCAGTATTACCTTTTAAATCCATGATTTGTAGTTTAGCAGGTTCTGTAAATGTGACCGCAAGTTTTCCCAGATGATGACTGATACCACAACAATCTCCATCTACCTTCATTTTGTACTTTGGTGTGATTGAGTCTGGGGAGAAGGAAATGAACTGTATTGTTTTTCTGTTTGGTATTGTTATAGCAAGTGAATCACTAGAGACCATGGTGATATCCCAGGGTGATGATTTAAGTGGTAATTGTTTGATAGCTCCACTATTGATGTCTATCATTTTAATAGATTTATTAGGATAATCTGTAGCATATATTTGATTTTGAGAAGAAACCGCTATACCAGTAATCCAGCAATCCCTTTTATCTGAGGATGATTTAGCATTGATGTCTCTAGGGGTAGACAATTTCAATGCTACTGCACCTTGATTCTTTGGTTCAGTTGTCTGCTTTAGCATCTTACTGATCAATGTTCCTAATGATTTGTCATCCTGAAGGACTTTCTTGATACCTTTATTAGGTTCAAAGATGTACTCATCAATGTCATTGAGTGTTGGTAGTTGTGATATTATATTGTTATTGTCTTGAATCAATTGCTGAGCTCTCTTAAGTTCAGCAAACAGTTGGTCATTTTTCTTGTTTACATTGAGGTGATTTAGAGTATCAATTGATGCTTGAAGTGATTTGTTTATATCGTTACATGTTGTTTTTGTTGTTTTCATTTTTTCGTTGTTGTCATGTTGGATTGTTATAGCAATATCTTTTACCTCCTTTTCTAGTTCATCAAATCTCTTGTTTATCGCTTTTCTATAGATTTCTATTTCTGCTATAGCATCTTTAAGAGAAGTTGTTGATTTAACAACTCTTTGTTTCAGGCCACTTGTTACCAGGGAGCATTTGTTTGTCAATTTATCAATATCTTTCAGAGTTTCCTTGAACTCGATGCTGTCTATAATCTGTCCTGATATATCAGGTATGTAGTCCACATGACAGGATGTTGGTGTATGTTCAAGGGTCACACATACAATACATATAAGAGCATTATGGTCATGACAGTAGAATTTGATCACTTCTTTGGTGTGTTTAGTACAAGGCTTTGTTAAATCACCAGTCTGTTGACAGGAAGAAGATTTTAATGATCTGTTGAGTTTTTGTTTTTGTGGCATGTGATCTTTATCTAAAAGTTGGTGATGGCGTAGTGGTTTTGGTCGCCTATGAGTGTTGAAACAATATTGACATAAGTGTTCCTCACAATCTACACAGTAACCAAAGGCAGGTAGCCTGATATCAACTCTGTCACATATTTCACAGAAGATGTCGAAATCTTCAGCACCACCCCGAGAAAGTGAAGATGAAAGTTTCTGCGATGCCTTTTTACCAGGAACATCCATTAACCTGGAATGCACAAATACCATACATTTATTTATGACCAGCTGTGAATTTACTAGAAGAAATTTTATTCAGATTGCATATCCTTGAGTGCTTCTGTCATATAATATGTTACCATCTGATCTAAGCTTTCATGTAAATTTCAAGTATTTTGTTGATAGCATGATTTCAGATTATTTTATCACCTAGGGAACTGCTTTCCCATTAATTTTTGCAAAAGCTTTGATGCTTACCTCTCCCCATTAGAAAACACATGTTACATTGAAAATCAGGAAAGGTGTCGATGGATTACAGGAAAATTATTGTCAAGGTTATTGTAGGTCAATGTTGTAATGTGCATAATGTTCATAAATAAGATATTGTAACGTTGAGTTTTATTAACTTTTAAAAACATAGATGTAAAATAAGATAATAAACTCACCATGATTTATCCTGCTTCCTGCGATATATCAAATACACAAAGCTAAGTATTTTTAATTTTTCTCATGTGACAAGTAAATTCCCGTCTAGTTTATCCGCTGATATGAAAACTTTACAAAATCAGTTCGTAAAGATTAAATTATTGATTCACAAGCCAAAACTTGTCAATATTTAAAGTAGCATGTTACATGACATAAATGTGCAATGGAATTTCACTTTTTGTAAATGTTATCTTGCTGTACAAACAAATTTTACATTTTGTAAGTGCTATCTTGTTATAAGCCCGTATATATAAGGACATTATTAAACTAGTCTACTAAATATTTTCAAGTTTGTGTTAAATAGTTAAATATATTCGTACAAATGAATTGCTGGTTAACAAACATGTAAAATTTAAACAGTTGATACCAAAATAAATGTCCTTATTTACAATCCCAAGGATAGCTCTTGAAATAAAAATTATATCTTCACTATAAAATTATAAATTGAGATATGAAAACATGTTTTGTCAAATATAATAAAAGGATGGCAAAATTTATTAATACCTTTAATTAAGTGTTAATTTTTTTCTTGATTTATTTTTCTCTGTTTAATGAGTTTTCCCACACCCAGCAGGAGTACAAATTGTTTTCTCCACAAATAATTCCACATAAATGTTTTGTCCTTTGCAAGCAGTATAGAACCAGGATATATATTGTCAGTTGACCAACTTAATTTCTTATCATGATCTCCCTGATCATGGACAGTTCAAAAAAGGAAATCAGCAGGTTTAGGGTTAAAAGATCTTTGTAGCGTTTCTCCCCTGAAATGGTCAGTGATGCTTTAGTTGTTATACATAGATGCCTGTTTGACCTTCAAAAGTATGACATTCTAATGTTTGACCTCTCAATGTTTCCCTTCAAACTTTTGACCTTCATATGTTTCACTTTCAAATATTTGCCCTTCATACGTTTGACCTTCAATTGTTTTACACAAAATGTTTACTAGTAAATGAAAAAAAAATGTGTGACGATTGTTCTCTTCAGCCTTGATTCTGTAATGATATTTAGTGGTTTTGTACCTAAACTGTCGGTAAATTAAATTGTAAACAAATATGTTATCCTGTGTTTAATATATAGATTAATCTTTTATAAATAAGTAATAAATACATAAAAATTAAATGATTAGTTTTAACAACTTATCTGTAGCAATTATTTGATATAACGGGCATATTTTTATTATTTCTAAAATATCAGAACAATTCGTACTTAAAATCATTCGAACTCAATGCCATTCGTACCAATATTCGAACCATTATCAATTTCTCTTGGACGCTTGATTTCTTCAACTTCAGTAAACGATTATTAAATACAACTACGTTATTGGGTATAAATAGAGCTCAAAGCTGTGGACGATCAGTCTCTGTCCAGCTGCCGATGTGTCAACACCACAGAAATAATTAATTAATATTTTAGTTTAATTACTTGGGTTCTTGCACTATTTACAAAGTATTTCAATTGCATCAATTAAACATTGCGTTAGGTGTAATTGTTATTACTCAAGTATTGAAAACTCGATATCCAAGTGGTTTTTCTATATATTAAGTAGCCTAAAAAGTGTCACCCCAATTTTATATCAAGATCAAGACCACTAATTATCTTTCAAGCACATTACTGTTGTAACATTAGTTAATTAGACTTGATTCCAAAGTTTGAACAAATTATTGTATAATCATTTGTAACCAATCAACTGGCAAAGTAGCCATAAGAAAAATTATATATAACAGCTAGCCCGTGCACGTTACAAATGTTAATGTTTACATCAATTTAGCTGTGGTGAGGGAAGCTGAATATTAATTTTTCTTGCCTTTTAACTAGAAAATTTGAAAACTAGACAGTGTTAATCAACTTAATGTACTCAAACTGTTTCCGGCACCGGCATCGGTCTCAGAGTTGCTGCTACACTTTGGTTAAGTTTTTACATGCAAGTTTATATCTTAAAAACTTTTTAAGAGAATTCGTTGAAACTTAACACAATTGTTATCTGTTATAATCTATCACGATGAGCTCAGGTCATATGCCTCTCAGTTACTTTTTTATATAATTATGCCCCTTTTCTTACAGTTAAGCTCTGGGAATGGTAATTGCAATGTTTTAAAGACAGCTGTTGTTTACATGGTTTAGCCATAAGAAAGGAAAGGTGTAACACAAACTTTTGTTCCTGAACTTGCCAAGACTAATTTGATCTTTCTATCACAAGATTATTATTGAACTTTTATATACATTAGAGTATTATTTTGTTAATTTCAATATGCTTATTACGGAATTAAGAATATTTTAGTTTTCCCAGCTTATCAGGGGGTACAAACAAATTTCAACAGTAACACCTTCGATAATATGCAAATCGGGTTAACTAATCTTTTGTGATCGGTATTGCATCTTAAAGCTATAACAATAAAAGTTTGTTTATAAAAGTTTGTTTGTTACGGGTGATTAGCTTAAAAACCCAGCATTTGCCAAGTTCCGGATAATAACTATTTATTAATAAATTAGAAGCCAATTCTTAAAATGCCAATTTTAAATGTAGTGATATATATTATGTTTGTGAACAGATGTTTAGTGCTTTTTAAGTTATTTTTTGGAATACATGGCAAAGCCTTGAAAAGTGTGTTGTTGTTTTTATTTGAAATTATCAAAAATACAAAATTTATTTTTATGCTCCCCATATAGTCACCGGTTTGTCCGTTGTCCACTTTTCTTGTCCGGGACATAACTCTGAAATAACAACAGGTATCAGCATATACCTTTGTAGGTAGATAGATCTCATTGGAAAAAAATGCAGTGCAAAAAATCATAACTCCACCCTGTCTAATTTTTGAGTTAATGCCCTTTGTTCATTTTTACATTTTGAACTTTGTCTAGGACATAGTACAAAAACCATAAGAGGTATCAACAAGAAACTTTGTAGGTAGATATATCTCATTAAATAAAAGAGCAGTTTAAAATAATAATAACTTTGCCTTGCTTGATTTTAGAGTCATTGCCTTTTGTTCATTTTTTACACTTTGACCATTGTCCAGGACTTAACTCTGACACTAGAAGAGATATTAACAAGACACATTGTAGGTAGATAGATCTCATTGGGTAAATGTGCAGTGAAAAAAATCTGTGACTTTGCCTTGGCTAATTTTTTGAGTAAATCCCCTTTGTTCATGTTTTTCACTTTGAACGTTGTCTGGGACATTTATGTGAAACTACAAGAGGTTTCAACAAGAAAGTAAGTCGGTAGATAGATCTCATTGTGTAGAAGTGCAGTGCGAAGAACAGTAACTATACCTTGCCTAAGTTTGTAATTATTGCGCTTTGAACTTTGTCCGGAATATAACTCTGAAAAAACAAAAGGTATACTTTTCTATATCCAAAACCTATTTGGGTTTCATCACTCGGTTCAACTAATAATCTTTTCACAGGTCTTACCTTCCTGTTGAAAACAGAATAAAAATTCCTCTTTAGTTAATCTTTAAATTAAAGACATGCAACAGAGTCTGGTTGCAGCGGAACATTCATTCTTAATAGCATCTCCTATAAAAAACCATTTCCATCACATTCGGCATCACTTCCTTAATAAAAACTCATCCTTGCTGTTTTAAGCGCCACAGTAGGGATGATTTCTCCGTTGCATGTTTAAGCCATACGCTTGCCAGTTTTTTTAGGTGCCTATTGAGCAATCATTTTTGCAACTTGCTAACCGATACTTTTGAAATGTTTTACATGCTTGCTTAACAGCGTAAAACAAGCCTGTTTTCTACACCCCACTGTCGCTTCCTTTACAACACAGTAAAAACCTCAAGTATAATTATCTATACACAAGAGCAAATATTTATTTAAGCACTGATGTTGTTACAAGTAAAATCTTCATAAGCTGCATCAATAAAATCACCATACTTCCCGAACCACAGGCATTTGACACATTTGTCTTGTCAACAGTGTTCAAATTATCATTACATTGTCTCCCCATGATCATCATCAACAAAATTACTATCCAACATCCGTTAACTATATATAATATATAGACAAGGTATATAACTCGCCATAGCGTATTTCCCCGAAAGGATCAACATTTTGCTCTCGCATTTTTTTCGGACGAAGTCCGTCTGTAATCGGTTTACCCTCCTGTATAATTAACAGGGAAGGACTGAATATAATAAGAATTTTTATTGGTCATTTAAGATTACAAACTGAAATCGGTGAATCTCATTGGTCATTCTAAAATAAAATGTAAAGAATATTACTTACCTTTCTAAATAAAAGTTTAAGTATAACTCAATGATAAAATGTAAGGAATGGTTTTGTCACTTTAAAATAAAATGTAAAGTATAGTCCTAAAATGAAATGTACAGGAATAAGGATAGATATTTAACTTTTAGGTTAATTTGTAAATGATAACAAAATGTAAAAGTCAAATGAAAACAAGTAAAAAGGATAAATTAGATAGAAGTTGTTCTTCTTTGAAAAATCATCAATATAAATCTGCTATATTTCATTTTAAAGTATAAATGGGTATTTTCTTAGCTAAAAGAAATAATTATCATGTCATTGTTATGCAAGCATTGCTTACATTTCTTTTTGTATTGAAAACTGAAAGATATCATTCTTTTGCATATAAAACAGTTATACTTCAGCCGAGTATCTTTTTAAAAGATACTCCTTATTTAAAATAAGACATATTTTCATACTTATTCTTGCAAACAAGACACAATAGATATATCTTTCGGTAACCGTTCAAATATTGAGCTATCTATCTTCATTCACGATAAATTTAATATCCAACTATATTCAACAAATTACCTTGAAATTGAGGTCGCCAACGAAATTTTCTGGTCCACGTCGAGTTAACATACATTCAGCTGCTTTCAATTCGTTAAAAATATTTGAATCATGTTAAAACAACATTGATATAGTAAACGGGTGCTGGATAGTAATTTTGTTGTTGTTGATCAAGGGGAGATTGCCAAACGCCTGTGTCCCGAGCCAGGGAAATTAATATTTAGAGCAGCTTTAGTTAGTACCTTTCCGCCAATCAGTGCAATATCCATTACACAATTTAATGACATTATATGAAAAATCGGCCGGAAGTAGTATTTTGTCGCGCATGCGCAATGTGCGTAGGTCAAAAGAGCGTCGCCCTAAATATAAATGTAGAAAAATCGAGTAAGTTTAAGGTAAAAGATAGAAAAAGTATATAAAGCAGCTTTTAACAAAAATACAAAAGATGCCTCTATAGCTTTGTGGCCAAGATGCCATAAAAAGGCAAGGACAGGATGATTGTTGAAGAATACTCACTTACGATCACGGACCTGGCATTGAGATAATTGTAAAGAAAATATGTGGAAATATATCCATATGCAGATAAAGAGGTCTACTTAATTGTTGGTAAAAATAGTTCATATTATATAACAAGAAATCGAGATTAATTATCATTATGAACAAAAGTCAGAACACATAATAAGGCATTTATTTAGTTTTATCTTATTTTGTCCTTTATCCAAATGACTGTGATGCTGAATGAAAATTTTTAAGTCACAAAAGTAGATTTTTTTCCCCAAAATTTTGAGAAGTTAAGACGGGTAGTAAAATTACATACATTTTATTCGGTTCCTGTAAAACATGTAAATGCACGTCCCACTATTTGTCACTTCACAAAATTAACATACATCGATGGGATTGGTATACGTAAAGGTATAGTCATCGTTCTAAAACGTCCGGGTTGAATTATTATAAAACAACCGGTCACGTGTCAATCTGTTTGACACTTACCACCTTGCCATATCACTTATTCAAAGGAAGTGCACAATACCAATTGTGTAATAATATGTAATACAAGGGCAATGACATTTTATCTTTAACTCCCTTCTGTTTCAATTTAAATTACTAATTGAAAAGTCTTCTAATGATACCTAAAACAGAAGACTTTTGTATGCGCTTTTTAATCATTGTATTATTTGTCCCGCATTTTTTCGTATATTTTTTATAAATAACAATTCATTTTTGAGTACTTACCAATTTCAGTCATCTCAAAATTTATGCTTTCTAGGTGACATAACTTGAATTACGTCTATTTAAGCCTTTAAGTATGATAAAATGTAATATTTCGTTATTGCAGAATGCCCATGCGCGAAATGCTACATCCGCTACTATGGAAAAATCATTTAAAAAAAAAATGTCTATCCCTATGACAAAAAAGAATCAAATAATGGATACTATCACATACATGGCTAGTTTACTGTAGAGTATCTGGATTTGGCATGTAATATTCTTGTCAAAACTGATAACTGTATTTACAACCTTTTTTATAAGTATGATATTTGCATTTAGTTTATTTTTAACACCGATTTAGTAACAACTGAATCTAGATGCACGTATACAGGAAAATCAAATATTTAGATTCATCAAACGACAGAATTCTTTTACCTCAGTTAAATCTAGAAACAAAAATAATGTTGTCATATTTTCGTACATAATAGATCTACATTTATCAACATGTTATAAACAGTCATATCTTCAAATTCATTTCACGTTTTGTTTTAAAATCCAATTTTCACTGACTATGATGATGATTATATTAGTCGTGCTATGCTCCTATGTCTACTTTTTTGTTGTTCGAAACATCATTAAAATATCATCATTTTATTTTATTTACTACGAAAGGTCTTATTCAAAAACATTGTTGATCTACTGGTGTATTTTTTTCAGCGCAAGGGCATATGTTATTGATTAATGTACAACATATCATTTTATGTGATTAAAATGTCGATATTTACATTTGTTAGACCGCATTTATTTAAATGTGTACTAGTAACCTATTGACGTACTGTTGGGTTTTATATATAGCAGTGAGGTTTGCTAAAAAAAAGGTTTGTTTTATGACACTTAAGAATGTCATGTTGGATAATTACAACGAGCCCCCCCCCCTCCAAAAAAAAATGAATAAAAAATCGCCACTTATCAGTTCAGACATTTATTGTAAACCTGAAAAAAGGACCTCCTTAATAGAAGGCTGAAAAAATCTACGTCGCTACAATACAGTAAAGGGATTATATCACGGGGTTAAGTATTAAGTATAGAGTTAAGTCATCATAGAAGAAAAAAATCTTTATTTCAAAATCCACATATAAACAACAGTCTGGTATAAACTAATAAGCCCTTGAACCACACAAAATATATGAAACAACATCTTGAGTAATACAATACGACATACAATACAATACAGCATACAATACATTGCCATACAATATATTACAATGACTGACATTGACTAATAAAATTACTCACTTTCAACATGTTGTAACATAATTATATTATCAGAACTGTATGATATCAGCTACATTTTAATTTATAACAAAAATTCTACTGTATATTTTCATACATGTATATTTCTTTGATCATTTGGCTTATTATGTTGCTCCGTTTGTGTTCTTGCTACTATACATAAGTGTCTACTTGTATAATTATTATTATAATTATGTTCTTATATAAATATTTATAATGATTATTATTGCTAACTTCATACGAATGTGTACATAAACATAATGTAACATAATGTCTTGTATCGAAAATGAAATTACAAAACCTTTATTGCTACTACTCAAATCCCAAATCATGACAGTTCTTGAAATTGTCAGTTATGTCAGATATAAATGTGTCAGATTTTGATACACATACAAATATTCTTTTCAGTATTTGACAAATTGCCTTGTATCAATAGCGAAAGTACAAGACGGTTATAGTCACCATTGTATGATGTACACAAGGGAAATAAACATGCCAAATATTGTGTAAACAATTATCAAGTTATGTTTACTTTTAGTTTTCGCTATGATAAATTTGTAACACAAATTAAAAATTCTTTTAATTTTAACAAGAACGTAGGTGAAATAAAATTAAAAAAGAAGAAAACAAGAAAATAGTGAACATAATACATTTAAATGGTATCAAATAAAGTTTGGAAAATAGGAAAATGATTCTATATATGCATGTACCGAGGAACATAATTATGAAAATTCACAAAAATGAACTTTTAAGTTTTACGGCATATATTTATTTATTACTCTCTAAGATTGTTTTGTTTTGTAGATTATTTTCGAATCTCAACGACTTTATAGATAAACCTTGCTAAATTACTTACAAATTGTACTGAAGGAGAGTTAAACAGTTCTGCAGTTTTATACATCTTTGGATTTATTACGTAATATTGATTGATATATCGTTTCCTAATAGAATTATACAATTTACATTCAAACAACAAGTGAAATTCATCCTCCAGTTTTGACAAATGCGACATAATGTAACATACCGCAACCTATATTAATGACAGATATATCAATTGAAAATTACTAAAATACCAGACCTGGACTTACCATGCATACTGCCTAAATAGACAACATTGCATAGGTGGCTTCTGTAAACTTTTCTCACAATTTTAACTTTGACCATTACTCCCATAAATTTGTACATGGATATGTTAATCCCTGACTCTGGAGTTAACCACTCATACTTGTTCGAGATAACTAAAAAGAAGTATGGACAATAAAGTGAACAAGGGCGACCATGAAGCTGTGCTGGCTGATTTTAGTCCGATTGGTAGAAACATTTGCCACTGGCAGGCTAACGGTTGAAGAAACTATTTAAAGTGAATTAATCTATAAGGAAATGTCTGTAAAACAATAAGTAATAACGTTGATAGACTCAAGTATTAGACATAACAGCAAATAACTAAAAACTTATATAATAATATCAGCGACTGTTAGTAGTTTGTGCCAACAATACACGTTTAAATGGCTATTTTGTCAGCAAGTTAGAGATACATGATATGATATAACCCATATTTATGTAGCATAATAATAATAAAATGTTCTAAAACAATATAATATTATCTATCATAGGTTCTTACTTAATCACCGATCACTTTTATAAATTATTTCTTTTATGGAACATTTGACAGGAATAACAAATCTATGCATTTTATTTTTTATCAATGTGTGAAATTATTATAGAAAATATGCCCAATATAGACCAATCCACTATAATATTTTTGATTAGGCGACATTTACTTAGCGCTAACCGATCTTGATATGGCCACACGTGTGAATTAAATTGTCGTTGATGGTAAATTATGTTTTCTGTGTTTGCGTAACTTAAATCTAATTTGTTGGCAAAATATACATTTTGAGTTGAAAGAAAAATTAACTCATGATTCTATGCTTTGATACAGAAAGTAGAGTTGATTGGCTTAAACCTCAAATACTAGTTAGTTAATTTTGAAAATCTAAATATTTAGATTGCACTTCTAATATTACCAGTGCACTTCTAATATTACCAGCCTGAATATAAACTTACTTTAAAATACGACCACAGACCCGGGTGTACCGGATCCCGGGATTTTGCCAATCCACTCATGTGACATATCAACATGTTGAATGATATCAGCGACTGTTAGTAGTTTGTGCAAACAAAACACGTTTAAATGGCTATTTTGTCAACTTTCTAATGGATTTACACATTTAACTTCACTAGACAAGCGCTCGGCTTATATGGCTTTTACAACTCCCTTTTTGAAGAGCAATGGTTCACAATTCTCTTCAGGCCGTTGAAAGCGAGATCCCTCTCAAATGCTTCTCGATAATAATCATTTGCAGCCGATTTTGCTGCAGTTGCCGCAGCGGTTCCGAAAGGAGAAGTAAAAATCTTACTGGATGATTGCTTGAAGGCTTCCTCTGTAGCATCATCTGTCAACCCACGTGCCAGTTCTTTAGCTAATATTGACCCGATCTCTTTTTTTGCTTTGCGATCTGCCGATGCTTTACCTGCTTGCTTAGCAATACCAATAGAAGCCTGTTTTGCAGAATCCTTTGCCACTTCCTTTGCTGCACTGAATAAACCTAGCGTACATAAATCGTATACACCAGTGCCAACATTTAGACAAGCACTGGTGTAGTCGCCATTCCATAAATCTCTACCTGCTTCACAAAAGTCAACCACACTTCCAGAACCTGGGCAAGCCATATTGAGACCGACTTTAATTATGATCTTGACTCCAACTTCCATTACCTGAAGATAAATATATGCACACACTTAGTCCATGACATTAAGCCTTATATATATCTGATCTTGTTTGAAGTAGTTTTGTCAAAACTGTTACAAATAAGACATTTGTTTTTCTGTGGAATTTTAAAACTGATTCTGGATACACACGTACGTATACAGTAACCTGAATAGTGAAAATATTAAAATCGAAAAATCTAGAAACAAAAATGATACCGTCATACTTTCTTATTTTCTCTTAAAAAGACACAGAGACTCAGTCGTGTAACGACACTATGCAATCATACTGTGATAATTTGCAGTTTGTAGAGTTATATATGGCATATATTTTCTCTTTGTGTATTAAAAAGATGTTTACTATACGTTTCAAAAGACACTGTATAGTAATTATCAGTTTTCTTTCTTCATGTATAAAATTTGAACATAATATATCTTTAAAATACCTTGCCACCTATTTATTACAAAGTTTTGTATTATTTCATTTTGAAACATTATTCCAGAACTTTTAATATTATTTGATACAGGACCATTGATAAAAAGGGCCTTGAATAAATTGTTTAAATTAGTTAAGTACTGGTTATAACATTGCAACAGACATGTCCTGTAGACAGCACATAATATTGTGCTTATCTTGTTTTGAATGACCAGGATCTGGCTGTTCAAAATATGGTTTAAATTAACCGTAGAACAGTTTATCCTTAACCAGCGGCAAAGTGTCACTAATCATGGAAGAGAATGGAATGGTCGGTGATCTTTGATGCAGCCATGCGATAAAGTAAATTAAAAATATTGATTCCGATCACATTGCAAACAAAATACTAAAAGAAGTTTGGCAGGAAATTGTTTAAAAGAAGTAAAATATAAAGAACAAGAATTTGTTATGAAAAAAAATAATTATGTTAAACATATGGATCTGTTTATTTACTATGAAATGTCTACGCTAAAGAAATGTTGTTAACCTGCTCTTCTATTTCTTAGCTCAAGCGCATAATTTATTAATTAATTAACCAGGTGTCATTTTATGTGATTTAAATATCAATATTCCTGTCAATTAGACCGCATTTATTTAAATATGTAACAGTAGCCCTTTGACATGCAGTTGGGTTTTAATATTTTATTAAACCACGTGCAATTAAAGATCTGATTGCACTCGTTGTGTTGACTGTAATTTTAACCACACTACTTCAAAACTACAAAGATGAAAAATGCTACACCGCTTCAGTACAATATAGGATGTTGGAATTGGCGTATAAATATTATTACTTCACTTCTCCCACTTTATATGAAATGAAGACTGCATTTACGCAGATCAACCTTAAAATAAATATTTTTTAACAACCCCTTTGTTCCCTTTAACGCGAAATTTTAAAAAAAACGCGAATCATGAAATAATTTTAACGAGAATTTCAAAAAAATGGGGATACCTGACAGGTTTTCCAAAATGCGTAAGTAAACGGGGAAAATTTTTTTTAATTTAAACCCGAAATGAAAAAAGGAATGCGCAACGGCTGCGAAGAATTTACTCTCTATCCTTCATCAAGATTTTTTAAAACAAAAATTTTTATTTTCAAGGTCATTGGAAAAGGGTTGACCACTTTTTTGAGCAAAATTTTGGTTTTTATCGACCAATATGTAAAAAAGCATATTTACCTAAAATTTCGTTTTTGGAGAAAAATGACCTTTACTAAACTTCTGGTGATAAGAAAAATTGAAATAATCTCATAAAGTGTTATTTAAGTCGTTTTTATGAGGTAACGCCGATGTACGTGAATTGTGTTTCGCGGTAACGCCGGAAAATGTGTCTATTTTCATATATAGTAATGAACTGATTAACACCATTAATCGGCGAGTATTTTCAAATATATATTTTTGTGGGGAAACTTTAATTAATTTTATACAGAATTTATTTTAGTATGATTGCGTAGAAAAAGAAAATAATGACACAGTCTCGAATCCATCCCTGTCACAAATGTGAGGTCTCAAGCAAGTAAATTAGTGGATTGAAATTCTTGTAGGTGTAAAGCATCATGCTTAAGGTTGTGGTTTGAATCCACCAGTGTACAGATTCACTTTTGTACTTGACTTATACTTGTACTAGACATCCTTCCTAGTACTGGTGTAACTCTCCAGGAATGATGGTTAGGTAACTACCCACCTATATGACTGAAATACTGTTGGGAAAAGGCGTAAAATAAACAAACTAAGAAACAAACAACAAACTAAATTTAAAACTATGAAAGATAACGTTTAAGCATTTAGCATTTAAGTAAAAATTTAGTGATACATTATAAAAGTCTACGTTAAAATAAACTGAGAAAAAAAAGAATATATAAATTGATATAAAAATTGAAGTGTTAAAACATTTGGCAAAGATCATTTAGATTGTTTTTAAATACAGCTAGAAATTGCTTTGAAATGCTGAAATGATGTTTTTAAACATTTTACAATAAGCTGTAAAATAACATATCATCACTTCTCAAAACCTGTTAAAGTTTACTGAACACTCTTTCATTGCAAGCTATGATTTCATGTGAAGCGGGCATTACACGTTGACTTACGGGCTCACCATCGACTGTTGCAGTATGGTAGGAAACACCATTCTCAACGGTCAAACGTGAGATATCTCAAAGTAGGGATTTGATAATCTTTGGCACCTCCTCTTCCTGTGGTGAGAATTGTACTGCAAAACAGAAATTAACTTAGACGTATTTGGGTCTTCAGACTGTCAAAGGCCAAGTTGATATGTTCAAAAGCGCAAACATTAGACCTAGGTGGCATAAGCATGTCGTCCAAATTTGAAGCTTCTGAACCAAATAAACATTCTTCAAATACAAAAGGAGAAACGACAGCACCAACACCAACATATTTTATGGTGTCAGCAAGCATCTGAGGTTCACGGCTTAAACCATCAGAGTCGCATTTAAACGATCTGACTTCTAAATCTTAGAATGGCATAGCAGTTACCCATCTATGTGCTGTTGCATCAAGTTTTCCGGTGGACATAACACTAAAAGTTAATGGATAGTTGCCGTCATGACTGTACTGTTAAAAAGTTGCCATATAAATAGTCAGTCAATACCCAATAAAGTGAAAGGAGCTCGAGCTTAGGAGCTATGTAATTCCGTTAACTTGGTCTTAAAAATAGAAATTAGGAATCCCTAAAACGTCCAAAACGTAAAAACTGAAAATTTTACAGGCTCGGTTGAATTGAGCCTTTTCATGGACTGTGCTGTCAAGTTCAAACTACTGTCCAGGCCCTAAGTATCGACTTAAAAGCAGAATTCAAAATTTCAACATAAAAAGGTGAACTTCTGAATTCAAATGATATGCAGATGTGTTTATATGGCGGTTTTCATAGAACAGTCAAAGTGACACTTCCATGCCATTTCATGAAAGGCGGTGTATAATTCCCAGAACGCGTGTGTCATAAACGAGAAAACAATGGTTGGAACTAAACAAAATGGAATTCTGAGAAGGGATCAGAGGTTATAAAGCCTGCAAATCACAAATAAGACATCAAAAGACACAATTAAATGGCAGGCAAAATATTCTAAGTGTGGTTTAACATATTTCAAGGAGGAATATTGGAATCACCCAACTAGAAAAATGCCGAAAAGTAAAAAACTTACAGTACCGTAAACACAACAATAATGTTGTTAATCCAAGAATAGCAGTGATTCCCTCTGTGCAATCTTCCTGTTGTTGTTACAACAGCACCAAACCCAGTAGTACAGGCATCTATATCGACAGGACAACAAATGGCTTAGAAAAATTTGCAAAAGCTAGTACAGTGGATAAAAATAGTTTCTGTTCAATAGTGTCAAATGGTTTTTGCTGATTAATTCCCCATGTCCAGGGAACTGATGACTTCTTTCTATTATGCTTGGACTTTCCTTGTGCTGGTACTAGTATTGGCTCAAAGGCTTGGCAATTTTAGAATTATTCTTAATAACTCTGCAGTAAAATCCTGCAGTACCAAGAAAAGAACGAAGCTAAGACACACCCATTGAGTACAAAATAAATTGTTTTAATTGTATGAGGAGCTTAAATTTGACTTTACTATCAAAACTTTCAGACAATTAATGTAGTGATTATAAACCACCTCTAGGTCTATCTCTAGTTGTTACAATTGCTTTTGCTTTTGAAACCAAGCCGGTTAACAAAGATTATACAATGTTTTAATTTTTTTCATCATATTTGTTTGCATTAAATTAAAAATAAAACGTAATGTGTTGATTTCATACTGTCCATTATTCTTTTAATAACACTGTCAATACACAGTTTATAAAGTCAAGCGTTAAAACAAGTAACAGGGTCACCTAAATTAATACTGTAAAATAGAAATTGCCCTACTTTGAAGAGACATCAATATGCTTATAATTTAATTTCTCTGTTTACAAAATGTGGTTTTCTTACATACAAGAATTATTTTTTATCTGATTGCTATACAGGCATTGCAAACATTTCTAAATGTATCGCAAATTTAGAAATAACATATACAACTAAACCAGTTTAACTTAACCGAGTATATTTAATAAAGGTATTTCTTTATTATTTAATATCAAATCAAACATATTTTAAGTCATCAAATTACCTTATTAGAAATCAAAATAAAACAAGTAATTATATGATTGGCTTGTCTGTAGTGCTTAGTCAAAACAAAGGATGGCTTGAAAGGTATCGAGTGTATTGTTTGGCAATATTGACCTGAGACATTTGAATATTCAATAATCTTTTGTAGGTAATTATTGGATTCCGAAGAAAATCATGCGCATTCTGAAGAATAGCACAGCAGTATATGTATAACGTTAAATAAGAAGCATACCAGTCGCCTTACAAGCCTCAGTGACAAGGTGTTAGACCTTTATTTTTGAAGGTTGTAAGTTCGACTACTGTATTGAAATGTGAATTCAATAAGAGGAACTGTACACTTATAACACACAAATCACAAAACACCTATATATTCTGTAGAATGTTAAAGATGACGACTCCTTGCACAAAATTTG